TAATCATGTAACTTCTTGTTCCAGGATTTAGCCTTAAGAAAATCGTCATCCAGTGCACCAGAAATTTCATTCTTTGGCCTCCAATAGTCGCTTTGAGCTTCTTCATCAAAACCATCACTACGCATCCGGCTAAATCAGTAAACAAAAGAACTTTTAGATTTAGATGCAATCTGTGAGGTTACTTTACGGAACATCATGCATAGAACTCACTGAACAAGCTAAGGGGAGACCAAAGCAACCTGATCCTTAATGTTTAAAAAAAACTTTCTAAACATGATCTGTTCCTCTCTATTAATTTGTATAGTTGTTCAATGAAAATACAATCATCACTACGCATTCTATTGGAGAGTATAAACAAAATGACTTCTGGGCCCTGGCGTGCTGCATCTCGCTGATTCTCAAAGAAGGAAGCAGAGCATAACCACAGCTAGGGGCACTGCAAACTGCCCGAGACTTCCTGAAATACACCTCCTTCCCTGAGCCAGCAACGTGTCTATAGAAGTGCCTGTGCTTACGATATCCACTAACCACTCATTAAGCCAGCTAATTAGTTATCAAAAGTGTTTAAGGACCTCCTTTGTGGAAGGTACTGTTCTAGCTGCTGGGATATAAATGGCAATTGAGACAATCAGAAAGCTGCCCCTAAAGAGATTATGTTGTAAAGACTTACTCATCATGACAGGCATTATCAGTCCACTCTAAAAGAACACTATTTTGTTCCTGGAAATGCTACTTGGAACTGAATAACCAATATAAAACAAATCATCCTCTGCACTAAGTACTTCTAAATTCTAGCAGGACTGTCTTCAGAGAGAAAATAGACTAAAAAGGTATTTATGCTAAGAGTCTGCTTGCTTTACTGTGGATACCCTGAATATTTTCTTATCCAACGCTATTCACACACAGCCAGTAACACTCCAAAGTCCACACACTCCACAGGCACACTCACTCTCTTTAAGCATCTCACTATTAACTATTTCCCTGGGTGGCTTTAGAAATAAGCATTATTACTTTATAATCATTTTTCATAAACACAGCTCCACATTCACAGGCATCTGAGGCCCAGGAGATACTCCCAATACTCAGACATCCCTATCCCGCCACAGCAAAGACGACTAAGCCTGCATAGTCCGTCTGATTCACACTCAGATTATTAAGGTACTGCGAAAGGTTGTGTGACCTGGCGACAACAGTGAGTAGATGAGGCAAAGAAAAGGCTGAGAGAGACTGGAAAACTAATTAGGGGAAATATGTGTACGATCAGCTAAGTGACCATAAGGTATCTATAGAAAAATCTTCAGTTAAAAGCCATCAAGTAAGGTCAGAATCTGCAGGATCCTTAATATTTACAAGTGTTCAAGTTCTCCATTGCAAATACATATAAAGAGTGGGGCCATATGCATCATAGCCATTACCTTTATGCTTGGGTCTAGATTTATGAAAGAGAAAAGGCTTAAGGACTCACAAAACTGAATTCATCTATCTGTAGTATACCACTGTGTTTTTACACAAAAGTTGAGGATTCTGAACAAGATGAGAATTATTTTGGTTCTCAGGACAGCAACTTCACCTTGAACTGCTAGGTAACATTTTCCTTTTGGTCCCCCGGTAAGCATCTTCCATTTGTTTCTCCAGTTCTCTTACTTTCCACATATCTGATTCCTCCTGAATCTAGATTTTTTTTTAAAAGAAATAAAAATAAGTTACTAAAAACAATACCTTACACCACAGAAAAGTAACCGAAAATATAGTCTGCACTAATTTTTGGATTATAGGCTGGGTTATGATTGGAACCTGACCTGGTTTCTCTACAGTGGTCAAACAAGTTGACCCAGTAAGTCTCAATCATGTAAAATTCTGCAGGAACAAAAGAGCTTTTAACCCCGGTAAAGACACACTTATCACCTTATTAATTAAGCAATTTTGCTGCAATTAGCCAATGATCACCTCTTACGTTTCTAAAATGCTTTATGACTTTAATTGTATCACTTCTATTGAAACTTAAGCAAGTTTATGAGGAAAGCAAAGCAGGTACATTACTGTATTTCACTAAGAAACAAAAGCTCAGAGATTTTACCAAAGTCAAAAAGCTAGTAAGGACAGGTCCTTAAACTTTCTAGGCAAAGTCTCTTTCCACAACATAATTTTTATTAAAAGCAAAGCAAAACAAAACAAACAGTATGAGAACTTTTGGAGAATTTCCTGAATAGCAGAGTACAGCCTTGCAAAGAACAATGATGTTTTATTTCTAAGTCCTCCTAAAATATTTTGTTAGATTTGTGCTAGATTTATCTTTTTTTAACCACCCCTTTCAAATCTAAGCTCACCATTCAACTAGCGGTGGTTTAAGGCAATTGTAGGGGCTGCTTACATAACAGACTCTCAATCAAAGTATCAGGTGATATGACAGTAATAACATTTATATCAAACTCAGGGTTATACAGTTCACCAAAGAAAACCAAACAAGGGTCCTTGGCCCTCTTTTCATTGTACATGCTCTCCTAGGTGACCTCACCTATTCTCATGACCTCTATCATTTCCTATATATCCGTAATCCACAAACCTTTATATCCAGTCTCAACTTTTCTCCTTTCTTCTAAGTCTGAATTTCCAACTGTTTGGACATCCTATAAGGCGTCTCACTATCAACATGTTCAAAACCAAATAGTTGCCTTTCCCATCATACTTGGCTATTTCCTTTTGTTCCCTCTCTCAATTAATGGCATCATCATCATTCACACAGTCACACAAGGTGGATGTATTTGCTTCTATAATTATCACTATCATCCAACCCAGTCATCAAGTTCTTCAGACTCTATTGCCTAAATTCCTCATCTTCATCCCTGCTGTCACTGCTTTCATGCGAATCCTCCATCATCTCTCAGCTAGCAAATCATCTTTCTAAAATACAAGTATGATCATGTCACAACCCACTTAAAAAATTTGATGATTTCTTTATTGCGTAGAGGAAAAAGTCTTATTTCCAAGTATCACAGTCCAACTCTAATTTGCCACTTAGGGCTCATTTTCTGCCACTATCCCCCTCCCCAATTCTCAATTTTCTGGATGCACACAATCTCTTGCCACGCCCCAAGTGCTCCATACTCCATGCTCCTTCTTGCCATATGTTAGTACATGATGTTCTCTCTGTCCTGAATGATCTTTACACCTGGTAAACTTGAGCCTGTTCCATCCAGAACTACTTCAAATATCAGCAGCTCAAAACCCACCCATTCTGTTGAAGGCTTTCCTAATTTCCCAAGGCAGATTTCATTATTCCTTTCTCAGTGCATGAAACCATTTTGTATGTGTCTCTATTATAAATACCTACCAAACTGTATTCTAATTATCTGTTTTATTTACCTTTGTATCTCCCAACTGTACCAAAATAATTTGTGGTACACTGTATGCCCTCATTAAGTGTGAGGAATAACTAAGCTGTACTTCTCACCTTATTGTGAGCATCTGTGTGTCGGATGACATTCCTCAGGAGGACCTTCCCCAAAGGAACTCGCGACATTCTTCAATCTGAAATGAATCAATAAACAGCATTTAATGATAATTTACTTTATTACCTTATCTGTTGTTACTATGTTATAATGAAGCATGAGATAAAGGAAAGATCACTGAAGTCACAGGTCCTGAGAAATAGTTTTTCCTTCACCATTAAGAGGAGAAAACACCTGACCACACTCAAAATAACATGAGGATGAAGGGAGATAATGTACACTGGAGTTCTTTGAAACTGCACAAAATTAAGTGCTTTCAAGAGCATCATTTTATTTAATCCTCAAAATAAGTCTATGTTTTATGAGAGGCAAGTATCTTCATTCCTATTTTGTAAATGAAATATCCTTAAAGCTATAACTTGCCCCAGGCCACACAGTCCAAGGCAAACAAAGTCCAGATTAGAAATCAACTCTCTAATCCCAAAATTAGTTTTCAATTAAGTAAATACCTAGATTTGAGAGTGTCACGTACCACAAATGTCAACAATAACAAAAACTGACACATAAAAACATCAAATGCAGAGATACCCTAAATGTCTCCACTCAAAGGAATTTCATGTTCTATTCTGTATTTAAGCCTCCAAGAAAACAGATGACGGGGATATTCACCCGTGTAGCCAGCAGGGGCTTTGTGCAACCACCCCACCGCTCACTCACCCCTCCATCCTGAGGAAATCAGGCATCTTGTTAGTGTGAGACGAAGAACCACTCCATTACAAGATCTCCTCCGACCCGGGAAACCAAGGAGTCAGGGCTCAAAAGCAGCTCTGCAGCTTCACCCAAGTCCTTTGTGAAAACGCAGCCTTCCCACCGGTTATTCCGCCCTCACCCGTGGTCCAGGCCACGGCCGCCTTTCCCCCAGCCCAGACCGACCGGCAGATTTCTCTCCGGACTGAGGCCGGAGGCTGCTCCGGCGTGGAATCCGGGCGGCCGGGTTGGCTGGGGCATTCCCCGCTCCCGCTCCTCTGGGACGGACCCGGGGATTGGGTTTCGCTCCCCAAAAGGATGGGGACGTTTTGGACAGGTTAGATACTCGACTGGGCTGCAAAAAGTAACTAGAGTGGCTGAAGGGGGGGTTGAGGCTTCCGAGTGGAAGCCAGAGAAAATACCCCCATCTTCGTCACCGGGATCCCTGCCCCTCAGCGGCCACGGAGCGCCCGGTAACCTTCCCTCCAAACGCCCTCCCCACACAAATACACACAAACACACCCATACCGTGCGCCGCAGCCTCGCGTGGCGGGGGTGTGGGGAGGAAGCGGTCTGGGAGAAGCGGGAGCCGACTTCCGTTTCGGGCCGGAAGTCGTGCTGCTGAGAAATTCTTCCCACCAACAGGAGTCCCAGAGACTCCCACAGGGAGGATTTCCAGGGCACTCTAGAGGTCGACAGGTGCAGAAAGGAAGGCGGGCGCCTTCCTGGAAAAGCAGTGGGTCGGACTTGGCTGAAAAGCTAGCTCAGTAGCAGAAGGAGAAGATGCGGAACTGAGTGTAAAAAATCTTTCTTCCTGGAGCTTCCCGGACCCAATTAGATGTTGTACCAGTGTGGTTACCCTGGTGACAGGCGTCGCGGTTTATCTAGGAACCAAGAGAAGAGGTGGATTCGCAGGCCGCTGGAAGGATTCAGTCTAACCCTAATACAGTATTCGAAGGACCCAGACCTCTTCTTTTCCTCATCCTGTGGATGTTCTGGTACACCTCTCAATTGGGGGAGGGGAGTGGGAGGGAGGTTATCTCAAAACGTAGCGAGAATATTATTATTCACATGTAAAGCTTATCAAATGTTGCAGCCTCTCTGTATTAATCCTCACGATAACCCTGTAAGAGGTATTATCGTCTTTGTTCTGAAGAGAGTAAACTGAGGCACATATATAATTAATTGCTTCAGGTCACACAGCTAGTAAGAGAGAGAACCAAGACTGGAGTCTAGGCATTCTGACTCAAGAGTTCATGCTTTTAACTACTAAACTATGCTGAGAATTGAGGTAGTCTCATTTGGCCCTCAATTCACAGCACATCCCTAGAAAATTCAGGAACTCGATAGGCCCCAGTCAGCCAATACCCAGGTGCTGGAACTGGAAAATCCCAGGAAATCCAGGGTTAAATAACTACTCTGGCCCCTCAGGGCTTGTGAGGGTCTAGGCAGAGGTAAGGCCTTATTATCTGAGAGGACATCTTGAGAATGTAGGAGAGAGTACCAGATAATTGGAGAATAAGGGAAAGATATAGTGGTGGTGAGCCCCACTCTTACAGACACAGGTGTCAAGGATAGCTGCTAACGTCAGCAAAACAGTTCCTGACCTGTTCCTCCTCTCCCCAGAGAATAAATGAATCAATAGAAATTTTTTCCCTCTAAGTTATGTCTTTCCACAGACTTAAGAGGCCTTTTCATATCTGGTTTTCGATATTTGGGGGAGGTGAAAAATATATCTATATTGATGTCATGTTACTGGTTCAAATATATATCCAGGGATTTTAGGGTTTAAAAATTAAAGTTTGGAGCAAAATCAAGGATAATACCAGATTCTACTTTAATATTATTGAGCAAACCTATTATCTCTTTAATTTAAACAATATGAATATCACAATTATACAAAGCATCACTATTTGTCTTGTGTTGTTTTTATTTGGCAAAGTAAACAACCATAAATACTTTCTTCTCTGTTGATAGAAAAAAAAGAGGCCTATTCGTCTCAATCATGGAGTCATCATCAAAGGGTCTGCTCACCCAAGTTACTCAATTCTGGAACCTCCTAGATGATCTGGCTGAAAATAACCCTGAAAGCTATGAGAAGTTCATTCAGCAGCAGCTGAAAGAGGGGAAACAGCTCTGTGTTGCGCCAGAACCACAGCTCTGTCTACAAACCAAGATCCTGGTATGTAAAGTTGGTGCCAAGGGAAAGGGAAGTCCTGAATGAAATGATCCTGGAATAATCAGAGAATGGCTTGCCATCAGCTACTGCTACTTTAACACAAGAAAACTTGAGGGAAACTGCCGATCTAAATGGAAATCCAAACATAGCATGGAAGATTCTGTTGAAGGAGTAAGAATGGGACATTCATATTTGACGTATTTTGGGCTCTCAAAGTGAACCATTTTTCTGCTAGGATGAAAATTAAAAGTAATGTAGTGTTTTAATAGAGAACAATAGAGTTGGAGATTTTTCAAGTAAAGAGAATTTATTTGGTTGGGGAGGTAAGGAATTTGTGAAATGAAATTTAAAAATTCACCTGGAATAGCTGCTTAAATCAATTCCCCCCCTCCCAGTTCTTAGAGGAGCAGCAACTGGATTTTTGATTGAAGAACCAGCATCTTTGGGAAACTCAGGTAGCACTATAATTTCTTACAGTTTTTCAAATGCAGTTTAATACATAGAATGACTTACTTAGAGCCTAAAATTCTTACTCTTCAAATTCTGGGATGAGTTACCTTTAGAATATTATTTAAAATTTTTAAAAACTAGGTTTTGAGATATGCAAAATTGTTTGCTTTCTAGAAACCAAAAGAAAAAACACTTTTTATCAACCTATGTCAGTGGAAAAGGATCCCAGCTCCCCAGTCAACTACTCACCCAGTACCTCTAAGTGTTGGCAGACCAGAAGATATGTCTGAGGCATCGGGTATGTAGAGTTATGGGAGACAAGGCACATTTTAAACATTTTATTAGAAATAAGCATGGACCAGATTTTATTTGTAAAAAGGCACTGCTTATTTTATTTGGTCATAATGTAGTTAATGACTAATAAGTGTTCCTTTATGAAAACTGAATACTGTTTAACTCTCTAATAATTTGAGCTAACTCTAACCCATATAAAATGCCAAGAAATTCCCTAATTGGAAATTTTGTGTATATAGCACCATCATGATTACCTCTGAAAAATATAGGAATAGAATTTACACTTTTTGCAGCTTTATTAGGATATGGCTTCGTATATTACCTGATGATATCGTTAGTGAAGGAATTCATCTTCATTTCACACCCTCTGAATTACACACACAGATGTTTACACAGTCATCGATGTGGCCTACAATCCTGATGTTCTCCAGGCAGCAGAAAAGGACCAAGTCAAAAGAGATCAATTAATACGGATGGCCATGAAATGCATTGAGCAACAACTTCAATTCACTCTCTCAAACTCTTACCACATTGCCAAATTTAGAATAAAAGGAAGCATTCACAGAATGAAACAAAATCTGATGAGAATCCATACTGTTCCCACAGATTTAAGAGAGCAAATGAGAAAGGGTAAGTTAATAGTAAATGGAAAAATAGACTTATTTAAAACATTTTTTCACATCCTGTGTACGTTTTGCAAACTGTTAAGTTAATTTTTTAAATTTATTTTTTGTTTTTAATTGTAGGATAGTCAATTTACAATGTTGTGTTAGTTTCTGGTGTACAGCACAGTGATTAAGTTATACATATATTCTTTTTCAGGTTCTTTTGCATTATAGGTTATACAAGATATTGAATATAGCTCCAGTAGGACCTTGTTGTTTATCAGAAGTCTTGATTTTAAAAGATAAGAAACTTAAGATAAAAAAATAAAGTTTAGATACTAGAAATATTAGCATGCCCTTAAAGATGTTTAAATCCTGCAAATTTTTTAACTAGTTTCTTTGGTTAAAGAGTCTTTTGATTTAAGATTCTCAAGCTAATTTAGCTGCAGCTTTATCTGCCATCTTGGCTAACACTGCATCTTTACAGCTTACCACCTGATGGTATTTCATGTTAATTTTGTGATTTCATCTCCTCCTCTTCTTTTCATAAAGAACTAACCCTTGAACAGATAAGAAGCAGTACTGTGAGCAATGCAGATCAGTTTCCTCAACTTTTACTGCCCCAAAGCCAAGCTTCAGGTAAAACAGAATGTCTGATAGAAGAGATTTCCAGTACGGAGATCCAAGTGGAGATGACGAGACCAGCCTATGAATTAAAAATTGTGGCAGATCAGAATGAGAAACCTCTGAAAATTGAATTAATAGTTGAATTACCAGGTGTTAATTCAGTCTCTCTCTGTGACCTCAGTGTTTCTGAGGTAAGTTGAATAGATAATACTGTAAATTTGTATCAGTCACCATTCATTATATTATGCTGTAATAACAAAGTCCAAAATCGCAGTGGCTTAAAATACTTTGCTCATGTTACATGGCAGCTAGGCCTGCTCTGTTCCATGAGTGCTGCACATTTCAATACTCAGGTGAAGGCACAGTTCCCATCTGAGATACGCCATTCTCATGGAAGAAGGAAAAATAGAAATGTCCAGACCACGCAGTGGACCCTAAAGCTTCCTCTCAGATAAGGCGTATATGACTTCTACTCACGTTGTATTGATGAAATAAGTCACAAGGCCAAGTCCTACACTGACAGGGCTGGGGAACATTCTTCTCACAGCTGGTCACTGGAAGCACATAGTCTACCTTAGCCACATCTGATAAGAGCATTGGAAAATGTGCCTTCATTAGGTGCCTAGTGGCTTACTCAGCGGTGTCCTGCCCATGGAATGTTGGGGTCAAAGGTCATTTTAAATGAGTTTTAGTCCAGGCTGGTTGCACTTTATTCCTTTGATTCCAGTCGGTGCTGCAGCTTACAATTCTTTTTCAAGCATGTGCATTTTTCAACAGCCTGTCTCTTTTGATTTGATTGCTGTCATGTGGCCAAATGTAAGGATTTAATAAGGTCCACCTTAATCAAGTTTTAACAAAGGGTAGAAAGATTTGTGATTTAATCTTTGCTTCTAGGCAGTCTTAATCAGCCTTTGTTGATAAAAAAAATTCATTTCTCAATTTTATCCTTTACTAGTTGAAAAGAAAAATTAGTTGGATTTTTCATTCCTCAAGTGTTAGAATTTCTGTTTATTCCCTTTCAATTCTACTTGCAAACTGGGAACTTCTTTTCTCAGCTCATCTTTTTGTAGTACCTTGTTAAATGTGACCAACAGAACCAGTGCGTGCTAACATTCCTGTTTCCCCACTTCTTTACCTAAACATTGTCTTTCAGATTATTGTTATAGTTTTATAAAAGGCTTTACCAGCATAATACATGGATCAACATCTTTCCAGTCTCCAATGTTTACCTGCTGTATGCAGGTTAGCCCCAAAGTCAATGCCACATAACTTAGGATGGCAATACCCATCTTCTGGTACCATGTCAGTTAACTTTTGATGTATTGAGCAGCAATATAACAACCTCAAATCTCAGTGATTGACAACAGCACTTTATTGCTCAGTACAAGTCACATGATAATAAATGGGATCCTTTTGTTATGAGAAAAGTGAATAACTGGGAACAATAATCCAGTAACACCTTAAATCAGGAAATAAATTTCTATTTTCATCTTGTAAAATCTCTCGTCTTACTATTTGTAGGATGATTTATTGATCGAGGTCTCTGAGAAGTACAGATTACACCTGAATCTTCCAGAACCTGTGGATACTGAAATGACAACAGCAAAATTTATCAAAGAAAAAGCTACATTAATCGTCACAATGCCATTGGTATAAGTCAAGAGCGTCATGGATTTTAGATTTTTAGTGTTAAACTCATGTGAATTATAGGACCTTCATTATGGGTAAAGAAATTTAGCTTAAACACTACTTTCATATTTTTCTGAGTTCCTTTTGATGACATTAGCTGTTACTGTTGTTGGGTTTTGTTTTTTTTTTTAAACTCTTTCTCCTTCTCAAACTTGGCATCAAGAAGAAACTACGGGGGTGGGAGGGTGTATCTCAGTGGTACAGTGCATGCTTAACATGCATGAGGTCTCAGGTTCAATCCCCAGTGCCATTAAATAAATAAATAAAAATAAACCTAACTGCCTCCCTCCCATAAAAATAGAAACGTTAAAAAAAAAAGCTACTAAAAACAGTATTGCTAGGATATATTTGTCTTAAAGATATTTGTAATGGTCTTAAGTAACTTAAATATCATTTGGGAAAAGTCTGTTTGTTTCCAATAACGTGAGAATTCTTGGTTTACTCATTGAAAGAAAAATTTTGTCTCTAGTCAATTTTTGTTATCAGGAATAAATAAATCCCAGAGTGCGCAAGAAGTTTTTTATTACCAAGATGGGCCATAGCAGTGAAAGTTTCCTCCAGCAATAAAGATACAGGGCCAATTTGACAATATGCAAACTTCTGCTTTTGTGTACCTCTGTGCTCTGGCAGGAGTCCAAGCTACCCAGGCCTACCATTTAATAACAGATATGGACTTGTCTAAGGATTGGATACAACGATGCAGTAACAGTAATTGGATGTTATTACATGTAAGACACCAAATACATCCAATTCTAATTTAAGTAAAAGGAGGTGACTTTGGGACAAGTGCCTTTCTCCTAAGAAAATGATTTTTTTTTAAATACCGAAGTGATGTACTTTATAACTCCCATTCATCTAAGTTGTCAGATGGTTGTTCAATACAAAAGCATCAACTTTCCAATTTATACCCCAAGTAAGCAACATTCATATCAAACCTTAAACATCCCTTAATCTTTTCTAGATACAAAACACCTTCTTTGTATTAGTTTTTAACTCAACATGAGGTACTTAAATAAAGTTCTTACTAACTTTAAAACTTTTTAACTTGAGGAACCAATGTGTGTAATAGAAATAAATTGATAGACAATTAAAGACAAATATAATTTTCTTAAATCTAACCTGGATTTGAATTTTTCTAGCAATAGGATAATTTATCATCTGAAAATTTTCTAGAACTGTATGAGTTCCTAAAATTAACAAACCTGTTATATTCTCTTTATCCCTCAAAAAACTTGGAATGCTTTCACCTTTTCTTCTACGAAATCAGTCAAAACGTATTTCCTAGAAATTTCCACACCTAACTGTATAGAACTGGGTGAATCACAACTCTTAAGACTCATGGCACTTAGGTGTTACTTATGTAAGCAGCCATGCAATTGTGCGCTCATTAATACAATGATGATAAGATCTAACGTGCTTAATGTTAACATGTTAAACTTATATCCTAGTTATTTTCCATAATACTTTTACTTTATTATAACATCTCCACTTCCCCTTCCCTACAAAAGCAAAACTTTGTCCAGGAAGAGCATTAACTAAAAATGAACTGTGGAGTAGTTCAAATTTGAATCTTACCAAGATTTTTCTTCTTCAAAACTAAAAATTATTTGAGGTGGACATTAATTATCCTTGCTTTAGATACCAGATTTTTCTACAAACGTAGGTTTTAGAGGTCAGTAATCAGTAGTGTTTATCTTCCTATGTATCCTAGAGCTTGCGCATTGCTCGGTGATGAGTGTTCCTTGCAACACATTCCTGTTGTGCTGGTCAGCTCCTCGTGTCCACGATGCCTTGGGATACCTGAACTTCACCCCCAAAACTTAGAATGGAGTAAAATAATAGAGCCACACTCCAACAAGAGGTGCTTCTTGTAAATCCTGGAGCCTAAAGCGTTAGATTATATCCTCCTAAACTCAGTCCTTACATTTTTATCAGTTCTATAAACTCAAAACGTATCTTATAAGAGCTTACGTGTACTGAGCTGTTCCTGGTCTTACATCATCTAATGTGAAAAATAATTAGCAATAGATCAAAAATATTAGACCAGACAGATTGAAAAATACAGTTTAATTTTTAAATAATCTAATTTGAACCAAAATACTATTTCTAACTTTCACAGACTGAATAGACTGAATCCAGATTTAGATTATAGCACAGATTGATTTTAAACTCAGAACAATTTTTATTAGAATGCAACTTTTTATTTTTCTTTCAAGGGAACAACAGAGCCATAGCATTAGCAAAGAATGAATTATCTTTGAAGTTTCATGTATTTGAACCAGATGTGGCTCATACTGATGATGGTCCCTTGTGACAAGCTCAGTCCTTCTGCATAATTTTCAGTTCAAGCTAAAATTACTAATTATTGAAAAGTCATATTAATGTATTGAATTGTTTTCATAATAATACAGCAAGGAAAATATTTGTGGAATATATGGAGTGTCACTTGTGCACCATGTAATAATAAACATTTAGAAAGATTCAACATTGAAATACCTAAATTTCAGGGACTAGCTCCATATATGACATATTACAAGGAAGCTGGGTCAGATTTATTTTAAATAGTCATAAACAATTCCAAATATTTATTAAAACATATCAATTCAATAGAAAGCCTGGAATTGTGATAATGTTCCTAATTCATTTTTATTATCCTGAATATCACCTTCCCCCACCCCCCCACTGAAAAAAGGCAAATTGTAACAAAATGGAAAAAAACACTTAGGATGATAAGGCAGCAAACAACCTAAATAATTTTCTCCTCTCCAACAGGATCTTAGGGCTTTCTTATTTTACATAAGACAACACTGGGGTGGAAAACACAGAACACTTTTTTGTACACATTTAACATTTTTTACTTTATCCAAGTAGAAATGACCGCTTTGTTTTGGTCATCATCTTTTAGCACGCCAGCACTCCAAACTGTTCACCAGTGTCTCTCTCCCTCTTCTTTTTGGACAGAACTTGGTGATAAATGGACTTTGGCACATATCTCACTAGGAATCATATTTTGCGTATGTACACTTATTCCAGTTATTTGATAAAGTATTTCGAAGTTATCTGAATAATAAATCCTAATAATTATGTTCATTTGCAAGTAACCACCAGTTAATTTTGGAGGAAAAATTCTACTTTCATAACTTCACTGTTATATTCTATAAGCATATTCTTTTATTTGGAGGTAATTATAGAATTCTGCTCTCAGAATTACACATTTAAATTGTTTAAATAGATAACCACATAAATTCTCATTTATACCAAGTAGCTGGTTCATTTTTATACCTTTGTCTCAAGGGAGGAAAGCAACCAGTTTTGAATTCACAGAAAAATAAACATAACAGTTGATTGAAGAAAATGTTGACTTTTAAAATTTCACTTATTTTCCATGAAGTTCTCTATGCTTCCCATCCATGATAAATCAAGATTTATGTAACAAAACATTTAAATTAGGTTTAAATTCCAAAACCAAGTTTTAATTTAAACCCTTTCTCCAAGAGAACTCATTTTCCTGATTTCTTCTCCTTCTCTCAAATCTAAGCAAAACGTCTGAGATAATTAAATTTCAAAACCAAGGTTTGATCAAGGTTACTTTTATGTACCTGTCTCACTTGGGAACCTCAATTCTACCTCAGCATTTTCCAGTGGAAGTACTTATCACCAGACGGTTAGGCCACATGTCTCCTGACTAGGAGCTTAAAATCTTGTATTTATTAAATGTGCACAATATTTGGGTGTAATCGGCATTTTAAAAAATTCAGTAATGCCCATTACAAATAACTTACCTGGACAGACTCAAAAATAACTAGTTAACTTTAAAATAAAAAGGACCACCTGTTTAATTATGTATTTATAGCTTGATAAGAATGAACCAGTGTAACCTGGGAGAGTCTAGAAATTCTTGAGTTACTTATAACAACATGGTGACAGGTTTTTCAAGGTACTTTCTAAACTCAGCAAGCCACTGGGCTCCAACTGCTCCATCCACAACCCGATGATCACAACTGAGTGTAACAGACATCATGCTGGCCACATCAAATCTAGGAAAAGAAAAACAGTATTAGGAATTCTGAAAACCATCACTAGATTTTAGCTAGTAACCAGCCCAAATGCTGGCTCCTACCTTATAATCCCAACCAGGTAACATTATTTTCCACCTACTCTTCATCGGCTATACACTCTAGCTCAAATTTAATAGTTTGAAGAAACAGACCAAATAGCTATCTGGAGCACATAGGTCAGCAAACAAGAGCCCAGAGGCCAAATCCAGCCAAAAGCAGGTTTACTGGAATACACTTACATATTGCCTGCTTTTATACTACAATGCAGAGTATTTGCGATAGAAACCATATGACACAGAAGGCCTAAAATATTTACTGACTGGCTCTTAAAGAAAAAGTGTGCTGACCCCTGACCTAGAATAAATAAAGTTTACCACTTCAAATAGGAACCACTACATTCAGTACAATAAGAAGAGTTGCTGAACAACCTCCTTCTGTGCCGACAGCTGAGCCTACCTGAAGCTCCAATATG